CTTCTCCTTTTCTTCCCTTTCCTCTGTCTATTGCTGAAACCCCCAACTTTCTCCTCTTCCTTTCACAAGAAGCTTGGCCGAATCAGCACATAAGGCTTTCTACTGGTAGTAGAGGCTTTCGAGTGTATATAGGCCAAATACAGAGGGAGAAAGGGTGGAGTTGCGGGAGGATCTGGAAGGATTAAGGAGGGAATGGAGAGGGCCCTGGTGCTTGGGGGGATGGTGGTGGGATTTTAATTCTGTAAAGAGGTTGGGGAAGCTAAAGGGGTCAAGGGAAGGAAGTGAAACTGTTACCCATGAGAAGGTTCTGTGACTTCATTCGAAGGAATGGCCTTATAGATCCTCCCGTTAAGTGACTGTATATTCACATGGAGGAATGGGCAAAACCCACCAATTCTAAGAAGACTGGATAGGTTTCTCTATTATGATTGGGAGGAGCATGTAGGAGAAGTGATTAAAAAGGATTTACCTTTTCTTATGTCAGACCATAAACCAGTTTTGCTGAGACAGTTTGTTACAATTGCTGGTCCAAGACCTTTCAAATTTGAAAACATGTGGCTGGATCACCCAGATTTTCAAGAATGGGCAAAGGAAAAATGGGAAGGATTTCAGGTTGAGGGGTTGGCAGAACCATTGCTCTGTTTCAGAAAACTTATGTGGTTGAATACTCAAAACCAACAGTGAAAATATGAAATATGAGCATTCATAAAAAAAAAAAAATGAAAAGTATGAGAGAAGTCATGTGGTTCATAATTTTGGATTATGAATTCTTGATTTTACAGAAAACCCACTATTCTATATTTGAGAAAAACTAAATGAATTCTTGATTATTACTGAAAAATATGAGAAAAATTATGTAGTTGAATACTTCTTATTGATGATTACTGAAAATATGAAAAATATGATAACACATATTCATAATTTTGTTCATTGTAGGTTCAATCTAGTTTGGATTGATCAATTACTGAAAAATATGAGAAAACATATTTATACCTTTGTTCTTTGATTTGATGGAAGAAAGGAGAAGAGAATGCTATTTTAACTAAATGCTCAGAAGAAATCTAATACAATCAAGTAAAGTCAATTTATTAAGGGAATGGTATCTTAACCTGTACTAAGGGAATTCTATCTTCACTAAATGTCAATTTATTTAGGGAGTGGTTTTCTATATTTCTCATTTAGAGAATTGATCTGAAGAAACAGGGTAATGTCAAACATTATTCTGATTCTGAGAAACAGGAATCAGACGAATGTACCAAACGCCTGTGCAAATTCTTTGAATGAGAATTTTCAGAATCCATTCTTTCTTAGATAGATTCTGAATATGAGAATTTCCAGAATCGATGCCCCAAACAGAGCCTTAGCTTCAGAAAAGAATCATTTTGGGTCAAAATGCATTCTTTAAATAGTGATTCTTTGGAGAATTTTAACCAAACATAGCCTTAGTTGATCCAGATCATCCTGTCTACAGACTTTAGGATTCTGGTCATACTTTTACTACTGACTATTTAAAAGAATGGAATTCATCAGATGATTCAATACAGCCATACACCAAAGCATGTAAACTTTTAAGCAAAGAAATTGAATAGGCAGAACCTATCTTGCCCCCCCCCCTAAAAGTTTTCCATGTGAGCTCAAGGACAATTTGAAAGATTTCTATTGATAGTTCATCCTGACCTTTGTGTTTCCATGTGAGCTCAAGGACAATTTTTTGCCATCAATAGCTCCACAAACCTGCTTTCCAGATTTTTGCATGACAGCATTCCTCCTTAGTGTTTCCCCTGATATCATTCGTTCAGCAAAGTATGCAAGTAGCTGAAACAAAAGACATAAATAGACAGCCCAAAGATCCTAGATGAGAATAGTTGATGCCAAATGGGAATTTCATAATCAATTTTAAAAGAACCAAAAACAAATAAAATTTGCTAAACTGAGATGCTATTAAGAATATTTGCCCATGATATTGCGAAGCAAAGTTAGACATAAGTTGTTAATCAAAGCAATATAATATACTTATCATTTTTCATTTTTTGGAAATGAAATTGGCATTAACAAGTTAATAATTTCATTTTTTGGAAATGAAATTCTAAGTATCCATGGGCAAGCAGCGGACGGCTGGGATGTGGGAGTCTCATCTAGGGCTACAAGAGCTTCCCCTTGGAAGTCCATCCATGCTATTTTACCCTCATTCCTTCCACTCATCAGGTATGACGTTTGTTCTGGTAATTCTGTGAAATTTTGGGAACATATTTGGGTAGGAAACTCACCTCTGAAAGAGCAATTTCCAGCTTTGTTCTCTCCCTCGGGTTTTAAAAATGAGCCTGTTTCCACCTTTCTATCCCCTACTTTGTCTGCTCCTGATTGGAACTTGGGTTTTAGAAAGGCTCTTAGAGATTTCGAGTTGAACATCATTTCTGATTTGCTTAAGATCCTAGATGAGGTGGTTATTGATCCCTCTACAAGGGATAATAGAATTTGGGTTCCTTTCCCCTCGGGTGTCTTTACTTGCCCTTCCTTTTTCAAAGAGTTAACCCAACCCAACCAGCTTTCGAACACCCTTTCCCACTCTTGGAAATTTGGGATACACCAATTCCTCCTAGAGTGGGTGCTTTCTGCTGGGAAGCATTCTTGGAAAAGTTTAACACTTGCAACTTACTTCAAAGGAAAAGGCCAAATTGGTGTTTGTCCCCGCACAGGTGCATCCCATGTAAGGAGAATGGTGAGAGCTGCTATAACTTAATGGTTTCCTGTCCTTTTGTATCAGAAATTTGGTGCTAGTTTTTTTCTCTCTGTGGTTGCAAGTGGTCCTCTCCTCCAAGTGTGCAGAGCTTGTTTAACGTTACATTAGTGAGAGGGTTAAAAAAGAGAGGTAAATTTCTGTGGAGATGTGTAAGAGCAGCAATATGTTGGACAGTGTGGGAGGAAAGAAATCAAAGAATCTTCCTTAAAAAGAAAGAAATAAGGAAGCTATCATTGAAGTAATTTCCATTAGGGTGGCTCATTGGGTTAAGACCTTGAAGCTTTTTGAAGATTACACAGCAGGACATATCATTAAGAACTGGAAAGAAGTGGCTTGGTTAGCTCCCTTGAAAGCTACCCCTTCTCCAGTTTGGGTTCCTCCACCCTTGGGTTACACTAAGTTGAACTTTGATGGAAGCAGCAAAGGAAACCCAGGTCCTTCAGGTATAAGTGGAGCTTTCAGGGATGGAGAAGGTCAAATTATTGCAATGTACTCGGGGCCTATTGGATGGAGGGATTCTCTGAGGGCTGAAATACTGGCAGTCTTGGAAGGGATTAAAAGAGCACGGCAGCTAAATATCAGAAAACTGGTGGTGGAAGGTGACTCGAGCCTTGTTATTAGGTGGCTGCAGAAGAAAGACTTCAGTTTGTGGAAATACTTAAATGAGAAAAAGAAAATTAAACATTTGACTCAAAACATGGAAGTTCAGTTTCAGTGGATTAAAAGAGCACGGCAGCTAAATATCAGAAAACTGGTGGTGGAAGGTGACTCGAGCCTTGTTATTAGGTGGCTGCAGAAGAAAGACTTCAGTTTGTGGAAATACTTAAATGAGAAAAAGAAAATTAAACATTTGACTCAAAACATGGAAGTTCAGTTTCAGTGGAGTAAAAGAGGTACCAATTCCCTAGCAGATTCTTTGGCTAAGCAAGGGGTGGGAAGAGCTTCTTTTCTGGGCAGCTTTGTAATATGAAGTAAACTTTTAGGGAGGGTTAAGAGATTTTACCCCTCCCTCCCGTTGTATCCTCCTTTTTAATCTCTTTATTACTAAAAGTTTCTTTACTCAAACCACCACTGATAAATTGATTTTTTTATCAGTAACAGTGTTAAATTATAAGTGCTAGTCATAGGGGTATTTTAGTCTTGTTTCATTTTTTATTTCTTTGTTATTTAATTGCTTTTCTATTCAGGGGTAATAATGTAACCTTAGGTCTTTTTTAATTAAAAGAATGTGGGGCAACAGTTTGAGATGAGTCATGTTCAATCTCAGCTTGCAGGAGACCTCGTTTTTTTATTGGAAACGGTAACTTTCACTAAAGATATCAATTAAACATCATACACTGTCAACTACTCAACATATGAGTGTTGACCCCAATCAACTTCAAGAATTACAAAACAGCCCAAAAGAAATTTTCCCAGAAGGTCCCCCCCCCTACTTTGTCAAACTATCTGCCAGAGTTGGCTGACCTCCTTACCCATTTGAATATTACCCTATCATCCCTTGCCAAGCAAATCATTTCCCTTATTTGTTGTCTAAAAGTCCATACGCCCAACCTTTTTGTCTGCAGCCACCCTATTAACAGTTTAGTATCCCCTTCCGCTTCAAAGTTCTGAAATCCCCATTGCTTGGCAAATCTAAGGCCTTGTAGGAGAGCCAAAATTTCAGCTCTCAGAGAGTCTCCCACTCCTATGGGACCAGAAAATAGCGCCACCATTCTGCCCTCCCCATCCCTAAAAACTCCCCCAGCTCCAGAGGGTCCTCATTACCCAAGGAGCTTCCATCAAAGTTTAATTTTACCCTATATTGTGCTGCAGGTGTCCAATAAGGCTGAAATACAAGCTCTGGTTGAGCACTTTGACACTACTAACCACCCCCTTAGAATATCATCCACTGAAAAGTCCTTAAATAGTCACTAACTTTCAACCAGTGTATAACTTTGATGGCTACACAGTCAATGACCTGTTCTATTGATTTTTGTACCCCTTGGAAAATTCTATTATTTGTTTCCTCACACAAAGACCAAAGAATGGCCGCTCTTGTTGCCCTCCACATCACTTTACCCCTTTTCTTTGGTAGTAGGAAGAAGCTCGGGTTAAAGAAGCTTGCCACATCCAGGGGAGGGATCCACCTATTGCCAAATAAGGAAGAAAACCAATTCCACACAAAAGAAGTGAAGGGACAAGAAAGCAAAAGGTGTGTAATTGTATCATCGTTTCCCAAGCAAAGGCAACAAGCATGAGAGAGGCAGTGATTCAGCCTCCTTTTTTGTAAATTATTCAAGATATTGGTTTTTTGGAGCACCACCTCCCAGCAACAAGGCTCTTACTTTTTGGGGGTACAGGATTACACCAAACTTCCTTTGTAGGAAAAGATGGGTTCGAGGAATGAAGGAGAGCAGAGAAGAAAGAAGCACAAGTGAAGGAGCCAAAAGGGGACACCGACCAAATTCTACTATCCTGACAAGAAGGATCCAAGAAAGCAGTACCAAGAAGGGAGATAAGATCATCTACTATGCCCATTTCAGATTCCCTTAACCCTAGGTCCCAGGAGTTTTCATTATCATGCACGAAAGAGATCACTCTCCCTTTGTTGAGGGACAAGGAGTTTTCATTAACTTGCAGGAGCCCCTGTTCTTCAACTTCTTCTCTTCTACTTCAACCAGAACTGAATCAGCACTCCTACTAGCACTTTTAGCTCCCTATTATTTTGCTATTGTTCTGTAACATACTCAGGGCAAGGTTGATCAACTTGGACTGGTAAGGACACCAGAGAAGAGGTCAACTTGTCTTTTTCTCTCACCATAGTTTGAAGAAGAGGAAAGCGACCAAAAAGGACTTATTGGCCACTAGAGAAGGAGGCCTTCATGCCTCAGGTTGCAGTGTTTATGGTGGTTTCAGTTATTTTCTAGTTTTCCCTCTAATTGGCAGTTCAAAGAGGGTGTGATGGTGAACCGTATAGGTTAGTATGATGTTTACTTGTTATTTCTACTGAAAGGTGGGTGGAGGTAGTGTGGAAGTGTGTTTTTTATCTGCTATTTATGTTGTTGGGATTTTCTAGCTGTTAGAAGGTGGTGTTGTGCTTTTTGACAGTCTGCACCAATACTGTTAGTACTCTTGGACTAATACGTTATCAATTTTTTGTGGTTTTTTGGTCCAAAAGTGAGTTGTTTTTTTTATTTTTCATTGCCAAATAGCACATCATCTTTGTTATTAAGGTTATGGCAACCTCTAGTGGTGAGAATAAGTCAAGTGAAGTGATTCACCCAATTCCATGGCAGTATAGATGACATCAGTTACTAGGGGTAAATTGAAGTAATATCAAAGAGAATAAGCCAGATTCAAGAGTTCTTGGGTATAATGATTGGATATAGGGGAATGCCCAGATTATGACATGCCTGTGGAATAGTATGGAACCACAAATTAGCATGAATTTGATGTTCTAACACTGCTAAAGAGTTCTAGGAGCATGCTAAATAATTATATTCTGGCCAAGATAATGTGACTAGGATTTATTAGTTGTATCAACTCCTTTTCAATTACAGCAAGGTGACAGGAGTGTAGATGACTATTATGCTAGTTTGAAGAGTTTATGTAATGAGCTGGACTCGTATCAGCCATTGTCAACTGATCTCAAAGTACAACAACAACAAAGAGATCAGCTAGACGTGACCAGATTCCTTTCCGGACTGAGGTCAGAATTTGAACTACATGCACAGATTTTGGGCAGAAGTAACATACCCACACTATCAGAGGTCTTTTCCAGAGTCAGAAGAGTTAACAGCCCATCAGATAATTCACCTATTTTAGAGAAGTCTGCACTAGATGCAACCAGGGGTGGTAAAGGTGGAATTCGTGGTAGGGGTAGTAACAGCAAAAGTGGTGATCGTCGAGTGAGAGGAGGTCGAAGTGGTAGTGTAGTGTGGGAGTATACTTTTTGTGGACAAGGACACAGTTAATTTCTGCTATGATCTACATGGTTCTCCGYCTACTTGGGCCAATCATTCTGTAGTTGGAGAAGATGGTGGTGCTACAAGTGATGATCTACATGGTTCTCCGCCTACTTGGGCCAATCATTCTG